TTGGTTCAGTCAAGTTTCAAATGTAAAGCAATGAAATTTTTCAACTGTTATTTCTGATTTATTCCTATTAGGATGATGGTAAATTGAGATCATTAAATTATTTGTATTATTTGAAGATATCATAAAGTAGTTTTAACATTTATTTATATCTTTGAATGATCACTTTCAATAAATTATTATAAATAAGTAAAATTTAAATTATTGAGTTTAAATTTCAAGAGTTTACAAATCACTACTTATTTAAAACAACATATGTCTAAAGTAATATTTAATAATTCCTTTTGATTGATTAAAATTTAATTTAATTAATTCTCCAATAAAGATGAGTAAATAAAATTGAAAGCATGGTATGGATGAAAAAGACAATTATATAGCTCAATATTCTATAGTTAAATCTTTTATTTTTGATGCCATTATTGATAATAATACTTTTATAGCTTTAATTTATTTTAATTATTTGAAGATATGAGTAAATTTAAGTATTTTTCAAGCTCATAAAGTTTATCAGAGTGTTTTTGTTAATTCTAATTGATAAGGCCATTGTATTCATTATACAAAACTAAAATTTAATTCTATTGATATCACAATTACCTTCTTTAAAGATTCTCTTCATAATCATGATAATGATGAACTAAGAATTTATAGTAATCCAAAATTATAAACTCATATAGTTAACTCTAATTCTCCACATACTGGAATCAGGAACTCTAAGTCCTATAATAACCTTATCAGTTAGAGTAAAAACACAAAAGTCTCCTCTTAAAAATCTTAATTGATTAAAGTATGTTTTATCGATAATAATATGTTCACATTCTCACCATATAATAAGGAATATATATGTGTTTATGAAATGAATAATTAATTTATTAAATCTAAAGATATTACTGTAAAATGTGGATCAGGTGAGTATTTTCTATTTCCTTAATAATATATAAATGCAAAAAGTATGCTTGTGAGTAAGAATGGTGAATATGTCAACTTAATTAGGAAAGAATAAAATGGAGACTTATTAACTATATAATCTATATATTTTGGAACTAATCTTTTATATGGAGCTATGAGTGATGATGGACAATATTTGGTTACTTGGGATATTGAATCAAAATAAATACAAATTAGAAGATATTAAGAACAATGAAATATATATAAGTATAAGTTCATATCAACAATTTTTTAAGTATATATGCCTTACATTTTATTGTATCTTTGGAAAGATATATTTTATTTTGATGTTTCTATTTAGTTAGCTATTTTTTTTATTATAATCGATCTCAATACTCTAGAATATAGGTCTTATTGAAATTCAAAATTTTTATATCAGATAATTAATTGATATCGTTAGCTTATTTAGTAAACTACCTTACTACTGAAAGAATCAATACTTAAATATTATCATCAATTAACCAACCTGTTTAAAAGTAATTCTAAAATGAAAAAAAAGAGAAGGATTTGAAAATTTCTAGAATTATGTTTTTTATGATAATAAAATAATTAATAATATCTAAACAAATTTTACCGATCTACAATTAAATATTTGCCATATAGAAAAATCAATTGTTTTTAAATTAATTGTATTTTCGTTGAAGAGAAACTGATAAGAAATGAATGATTAAGATCGCACATAAGGAAGAATTCAAGAGAGATCCAGACATGTTATACTAAAGTTTTATTTATTTGCTTGTAAAATAGATGGTCATAAAATTTAGTGAGATTTATAATGGTGCTATTTAATGGATAGAATTATTAATCAGGATAGAAAATAAAAGCAAAATGACATTTTTAAGATTTTTCCTTTATTTTAGATTTCTACAATATAAACTGAAATTTTTGTTCTCTTGAATAAATTTAGGTGAAATCTAAATAATTTAAATTTAGATAAAAGAAAAGACAATTGAAAAATTCAAAAGTTCTCAAAAAATAAATAAATATTTTTAATAAGAATGATTCTTGTTTAAATAGAACTGAGATATGTTAAGGTGAATAAATATGTAAATATTGAATCTCTCTACATCATATTAAGCAATAAGTATGTTTAATTGAATATTATTTTCTCACTTTTTATTATTTTTATATTCCACATCAAATTTTGGTTCAGTCAAGTTTCAAATGTAAAGCAATGAAATTTTTCAACTGTTATTTCTGATTTATTCCTATTAGGATGATGGTAAATTGAGATCATTAAATTATTTGTATTATTTGAAGATATCATAAAGTAGTTTTAACATTTATTTATATCTTTGAATGATCACTTTCAATAAATTATTATAAATAAGTAAAATTTAAATTATTGAGTTTAAATTTCAAGAGTTTACAAATCACTACTTATTTAAAACAACATATGTCTAAAGTAATATTTAATAATTCCTTTTGATTGATTAAAATTTAATTTAATTAATTCTCCAATAAAGATGAGTAAATAAAATTGAAA